CTGAGGATTAGGACAAGTAGACCTTTATGGCAGAGCAGGAGGTGGTGGGCATCGTTCCTCCCATCACACCCTTGGTTCCAAGTTTTGAGTAGTTCTTCATAACCTTATCCTATACATTTTGTTCTCCAACTTGCTTTTTTTCACCTATCTTTTCACTCAGCACATGCTGTATACACCTACATGATTCTTCTTAATGACTGGACAGTATTCCAATTATGGAATTGCAAGAATTTAATCTTTTCCCTATAGTTGGAAATTTAAGTTAATAGTTTTTCATGGAGACAAACAGTGCCTCAATGAATAGCCTTATACATATTTCTCTGAACAATTGTGGCTATGTTTCCATAGGGAAAAATTTTTAGAGGTTAAAATTCTGAGACAAAAAGTATGCCATGTAATTTTGACAAATACTGACAAGCGACCTTCTGAAAATTTGTGCCAATACTTTACTCTCATACCAGTAATATGAGGGTGCCTATTTATCTCCAACATCACTTACACTCAATATTTTGGATTCACTTGTCTTTCAGCATCTATGTAGCTCTTTAAGATATCTACATAGACTCTGTAGGCACAAAATAAGAGTTTAATAGTTGATTAACAACTGAAAATTAGTTATTGTATTTACTTAATACACTCATGGCTGAATTTATCTTTGTTACATCCTCCTTGCTAGGCTTCTTTTTTTTTTAATTGAAGTATAGTTGATTTACAATGTTGTGTTAAGTTCACGTTTATAGCAAAGTGATTCAGTTACACACATGGACACACACATATAGATATATTCTCTTTCAAATTCTTTCCAATATAGGTTATTACAAGATATTGAGTCTAGTTTCCTGTGCTATACACTAGGACCTTGGTGTTCATCTATTTTATATATAGTAGTATCTATATGTTAATCCTATCCTCATAACTTATCCCTCCCATTAGAACAATGCAAATCCACGTGTACAACTCAGAGGGCTTGTCCTAACAATGACACATTGGTAAGAGAACTAATATGTGTAAGTGTGTCTTGAATATTATAAAGTGCTATTCAGATGTTATTTCCATATATGGAAATGTGTTTTTGCAGGTAGCTTTCATATCTTACACAGACTGGCCTTGCTATTTCCTGGATTCACATGGCATTTGTTTTGTTGCCAAGGCCCATAACGTACTTTCACTGTGCACCCCAGAGTTTCTAAGGCCTGAAGTATATGATTGATGGTGCCAGTCTTTCAGGAGGAAAGGCATAAAATTGTGGGCATAGGCATCTTCTGAAGACAGTAATTGTGTGGCTGAATCAAACTGACTCCATTTTGTCAGCTCTTAGGGCCAGAGTCCTACTCCCTCCCCTCTCGGCATGACTTAGCTTTAGCCTACTCACTAGGAATGCACCGAACCCAGTTGAGTTCCCTATTAACTTTTAGCTTTGCCTTCATCTGATATGAAAACTGGAAGAATACTTTTTGCTGATCTGGATGATTAATGATAATGAGACTCCTTGGATGGGGGAGGAAAGAACCCTGGTTCCTATAGGTGCAAATGTGTGTCTCCCTCGGTAGCCAGATTCTATTTTCAGCTTTGATCCCTTTTCAACTCCCCCATACCCCTTTCAGGGGCACAGAGTGCAGCTGTGAATATCCCTGGGTCATTGTCCACCAGATCCTGCCTATGCCCACAATAAACTTCATAATTGCACATTATGGAGTTGCCTGCTTCATTTTTAGGTTTTAAAGTTCCTTCTCAGTTCAAAGGATATAACTCAATATCCCCGCCTCCCAACAGCAATAAAGCCCAAAAAGCAAAATCTTGAGAGAAGGAGGATCTCCACTCTTGGGAAATATTTTGGAGGGTCCACAGTCAACTGATTTTGTACTAGAAGATTTGTCAGAGACAGAGTCTCGTGGATTTAGATGGACTGTTTGGGGGAACACCCAACCCTACAGCCGTCAACCTCACCCTATCCCAGGAAGTAGTAATCAGTTCTGTAAAGCTAAAGACTATGGCCTTGTGAGGTGCAGGCATGAGGAGGGCTAACTGAAAGAGCACTCAAGGTTGACCTAGACTCTCAGAGCTATGACAGCTCCAGGAGGGGTGTTATTCTGTAGTGTCCCCATTCTCTAGCATGCTCTGGGGGTCAGCTTCTCAACAGCAGTAAGGGCAGTGTTGGCCAGAGAAAATTATAAGAGAATGGGCTTCAGTACTCCCCTGCTCTGATTGGTTATTTCTGGAGGAAGTGGTCATACAAACCTGAATGGAATTGCTCCCTCCAGTTTTACTTTCACAACCAGGATCTGGAAGGTGTGTGTCTAAAAACATAAGGAGTCAAAATCCTGAAACTAGAAAGGAAATGATTCTCTTCACCATCCTTCCCCTCCCTACCCAACCCCATTTCCCAACCCTCTCAGTCTCCAGCCTACAAGTGCATGTGAACACATCCTCGGTTTTCCTCCTAGGCTTTTCAGGACTTACCCTTCTCTAGAGTGAACTGAGTGGCACCCCTTGATAAGGAGTATTTGTGATAAAGCATGCTTGATATAAACCCAGCCACAGTCCATAAACTATTCTTGAAACCACTAACACATTAAAATAATTTCACAAAGGACTTAAGAGGACTTAGAAGTTTACATCATGATCAAGAGTATAAGGTCTGGGGCCTGAGTGCCCAAGACTGAATCCTGGTTCTGACACTATCTGTGACCTCAGGCAGGTCACTTCACTTTTCTATGCCTTAGAATCTTCATCTGTAAAATGCGGAATCACAGTACTTACCCTCAAAAGAGTTGTTTTGAAGATTGAATGAAATAATGCATATAAAGCACCATGCCAGACATATAGTAAGTGCTCATAAATATTAGCTAGCGTTTAATTCTCCTACAGTGCCTCATGGTTCTATGCCCATAGTCTTTAAAACTGACAACTATTAGTTTATTTATTAATAATACATTTCCTTAATATGTTCATTTGTCCATACTTAGCCTACCGAATTTTCAATGACATAAGAATAGTTGTTGCTACAATGGTCTATCTAGCATTTCCCCCCGCACTTTGTAATTCTGTACTCCTTTTCCAAGGTCCATTTGTTTGCTGGTCCCATCTCTGCCTCCTCTCCCACTCAGACTTGCCCCTAAAAAAGTACCCTGTGTTGAACCTCCCCCCACCTCCCACCCTTCTAGGTTGTTACAGAGCCCAATATTGTAAAGCAATTATCCTTCAATTAAAAATAAAATTTTAAAAATAAATAAAATAAAATTTAAAAGTACCCTGTGTTGCTTTAAGATTTCAGAAGGTAAAAAGGAGTAATAAAAGAAGTGTCTGCAGATGGAAAGGAGCACACTCCTCTGCTCTACTCCTATATTCCACAATGCATCTCCTGTGCATCTATAAGATTGCTATGGAACAGAAAGGCCACCACCTATATAGGAGGTTCTGAAGGTTCATTTGTGTAATGTATCACTGGTGTCTCCTCTCTGTGGATAAGGGCAGCTGGTTTTTCAAGTGGAACTTGCTCCACAATCTTCACCCTAAACTCTCTGCATTCCTGGCATATTAAGTCACTGAGGATGGAAAGGATACATGCAGGAAAATAAGTCTAGCCTGGTGTGAGCCACATTTTTCTGCCCTCTGTATCTCCACTTCAGCTCCAATTGGCTTGCCTGGGTCAACTGTGTGTCTCTATGTTCTCATAGCACCTGATCCTTAAGTAGCTGATTTACATGGCTTTTCTGGACCAAATTATAGCTCCACACTCCTCTTGCTCTTAAATAATAGAAGGCACATTAACCACTAGGGAGAAATTATTGCTTGAATTCCAAAGAGGCAGTGTGTTTTTCTGGAGATCTGGTAGGTTATTTCTTTCAAATTTACCTTGAATAACAATCAGAGGACAGTGGTGTGTGCTTTTTATGACAACCACCTAGATCTCCATCATGAAAGATGAGGATGAGGAATGAGGGAATTATGTTGAAAGAGGAAATCTCCACTTCTCCAAAGTCACTTTACTCTTCCCCAAACTAAGTATCCAATCCTTTCAGCCCCAAACAGTGGTTGAAGATGGCAAAACCACAAAAGACATGTCAGGAAATAGGACAATTCTGGCTCATGCACTGCTGCTTAACAGAGGGAGTTCTTCCAATATTAGATAAGAGGAGGAGAAATGGCAAAAGATAAATTCTTACCAAGATCCCAAGAGTAAGACTGGATGAGAATGAGGAGTCTTAGCTTAGATTGTTCACAATTCCTCACAGCATTGTGGTGGGCACAACTGATTCATGCTACTAGGAGTTCATCTTACTTTCTTGGTCTGTGAGGGGCAAGCATTAGTTAGGTAAATGCTAAGATACTCAGTCCCAATAGTCAGTGGCCATAGAAGCTTCATATCCTTGGTGATGTTAGAGGCATCCAGCTGACTTTCTCATCAAAATACCCAACTCATATGAGTGAAAGTTACTCAGTCATGTTCAACTCTTTGCAACCCCATGGATTATACAGTCCATGGAATTCTCCAGGCCAGAATACTGGAGTGGGTAGCTGTTGCCTTCTCCAAGGGATCATCCCAACCCAGGGAATGAACACAGGTCTCTTGCATAGCAGGCGGATTCTTTACCAGCTGAGCCACCAGTGAAACCCAAGAAAATTGGAGAGGGTAGCCTATCCCTTCTCCAGTGGATCTTCCCAATCCAACTCATATGATATATAAACATTAAGATACATAAGGAAGGGAGACCTGCATTCCTCCACTGGGGGTGTAGGAATGAGCAGATGGTTGATAAGCACATGCTCCTTATTAGAAAACAAAATCTTGTGGGCAGAAAGCAGTACTGATGATGATTTTCCTGATCATGATCTGGAAAACATGATCTGGTTTTCCTCCTCTGCCTTCACTCCACCTTGGGGTGTTAGCCACTCTCCCAACCCCAAACAACATAAAGTTGATGTCCTAGGTATTATTACCTCTCTTGTTCTCTGAAAAAAATGAATCAACAAAATACTCAGGAAAGAAGGAGACACAAAGCAATTTTCATTTCTTCTACACATTAGAAACATTTTCAATTACAGTTCAACTTCTCTGAGATCTACATCAGTATTGGTCAAAGAGCACAACAAAGCCAGGTTGGAGGGAAACCTTGATAAAGAGGCAAGAAGTAAGAGCTTTGACTCAACCACTCCACTCAGCACACTGGAGGCTCATGCAGGTCCCTAAGATAAAGTCATGCTGCTTTATGCCTTGAATGAATACTACTCTGTACTCCCTCCTCATAGTGTGTCTTTGAAGGGCTGCTTGGAAAAAAAGATCCCTGATGAATGATCACTAGTAAAGTCCTAAAGGAGAGCTAACTCATTTGTGGGACAGCTCTTTCAATAGTGGGGGTTTACCTCTTAATCACTGTTTCTCATTGGAATTGAAAGACTCCAGCCATGTTCACAGTTACAGGTTCCACATTAGTCAAACAGTTTCCTGGGCAGTACCCATAGGTTGTAAGCAGTCACATCCTCTGTTCAGTCAGGATATATTCTGGTGGGATTCTGAGTCATTCAGTTCAGTCCACAGAAAGCTCAGTAATGCTCAAGTGAATGAGCAGAGCTTAAAAGTCACAGACAGCCTTAGGTGCATAGATATAAGGTATCTCACAGGGCAGCCAGACAGCTGACCAGGGTGGATGGAATATGAATGACATCTCTGACCCTCCCAGATATGTAGTAGTTACCTTGCTGTTCAAACATAGCAGTCAATCTTAAGGAAATAAAATCTACTTGAGGGCTGCTCTTTCTTCTGATAGGCTTACCAGAAAACTCAAAAAAATATCCTGGTAGATATTCACCCAAGAGCCTCATCATCTCCTTCAGTTCTACAGCTGGTCTTGGCATCCCCCAACCCATCCCCAAATATCTGAAAGACAGAATCAGGCAATGCTTTGCCTTGCTTCAGCATCAGCAGATGGCTCTGAGTTCTCAACTCTGCCCTGAGGGTGTCGATGGGAGCATACACAGTGGAGGTAGTCCACTACATTGTGAGTGAAGAGTGAGCGCAACGGATGCAAGTACTGGAAGAACAGGAGCATGAAGCCAATGGAAATCAGATAAGCAATAATGAGCTGCAAGGCAATCAAGGAATGACAGTAATCCAGTAACACTTTAACTCCAAAGAACTTAAAAACCAAGACCATGATCACATTCTCTATCAATCTCACACTATAGTGCAGGCCCATGTGTCCCCAGTTCTGTCCTTTCTCAACAAGGTCCCTATCTGCTAACTTCAACTGCAAAGCTGACCAGCAAGAGAAGTTGATGCCAGCGTAGAGGACAGTAACGGAAATCAACACCACCAGGGTGCCCACTCGGCTGAAATTTTTCTCAATGTTATTGGGCATCTGGGCACCACTCCTCCAGAACTTCACCCAAGGCTCAAAGAGGATGATCAGGAAGTTCAGCAGTAAGAAGGGCACAGCTTTCAACTTCAAGGTGGCTGAAAAGAGCACGAGAATCACGAGGCGGGAGGTGATCTCCAATGTCCGCCAAATGGTGATGCACAGGACTTCTAGTGGCCCAAGGCGAATCTTGTATTCATCATACTTGATCTGGATGGCCAACATGTTGCAGAGGGTAGCCCCATAGGTGACAGATATCAGGGAAAAGACTATGAGCACTGCTGTAAGAAAGAAGAAACAGAAAAAATAGGCAGTCAATGTTGATGAACTTTGTATTCTGACCCAGAGATCCAGAGAGACGATAGGCAAGACTTGAGGGCTTAAGAGAAAAACCTATGAATGAACACAGCTGTGTAAACTAGGAGCATTCACAGAAAAAAAATGGAAATTAATTATTTTTGTGTGATAGGGACTGTAGCAGTTTTTCATTTCTCTAGTTCCTAAATTTCCCATGAAATTAGAAATGAATATGTACTGTGATACTTTAATAATCATATAAACATGCAAAATAAACATTTTTAAAAAGTGAGTCTCAGAACAAGCACTGAAGGCTTCCCTGGTGACTCAGATCATAAAGAATCTACCTGCCATGCAGGAGACACAGGAGATGTGGGTTTGATCACTGGGCTGGGAAGATCCCCTGGAGGAGGAAATGGCAACCCACTCCAGTATTCTTGCCTGGAGAATTCCATGGATAGAGGAGCCTGGAGGGCTACAGTCCATGGGGTCATAGAAGAGTCGGACACAACTAACACTTTCAGCACTAGCACTGAGAGGTCACTAACACAAGAAGAGTACATATAAAGGGATAAGCAGCATCCACCTGATGAAACCTGAGAAAACAATGCTGGAGGCAGAGAGAACTCTATCTGCAAAAAATCCTGTCTTAGGAGACTCAGAGAGAATGTCTTTGGTTATACAAGTCCCTGCTTTGAGGAATATCTTCTTCAAGGAAGTAATCTTGTTTGTGTGTGTTTCTAGAATATAAAATATATCCTGGAAATTCCAAGAGGGCAGAAAGGGCCATGTATATTTTGTTCATTGCTGTATCACCAGAACCTAGCACACTGCCTGGAGTATAGTAGGTGCTCGACAAATGTTTGTGGAATTAACGAAGAATTCTGAATTTAGAGAGACAGAATAAAATACCTACGATTAGAAGTCCTTGGTTCAGCAGTGCGGAAGCTTGTGCAAATCACTGAATATCTACGTGCCTCAATCTCCTAGGTCACTGATATATTCTAGAGTTGCTTGTATTAATCACCAGCAATGCCAGTTTATCACATCAATGGTGTGGTAAACTTTAGGAATCCCCAAATTTCTGGCAGGATGGTTTAAAGTTTTTTTAAAAACCATTTCCTAGCCCATAACATCCATATCACTGAAGGATCAGTATGCTCCCTAACTTGCTCTCCTGAGTCTCAACTTCAGTGACCCTTTCTTTTTCTTCCTTCCTTTATATCAAAGGATACAGGTCACTAAGAAAGATCTAGCTCTCTCAAGGAGAATGAGGGGTCCAAGGGTACTCATCCAAAAGAAACACTGAAGCTTTCTGTTATCATAAAAACACTGGATTCAGGGAATTACAGCCATTGAAATGTCAATCTAATCTGCAAGAGGAGCAAAGACCTCCCCATGGAAAGCCAAAAAGAAGCACAGCTTTTTTTCCAAGATCTTTTCCAGCTCTAAGTATAGGGTTGCGGTCTCAAGTACTGGAATGGGAGACTCAGTGTCTACTCTTAGCTTTATTTTTAATTATTTATAATTTTTTCTAGTTGTATTGGGATATAATTGACATATAACATTGTATTAGTTTAAGGAGTACAAAAGGATTATTTGATAAACTCTTGGCTGTATAAACCACACTCAGTGCCATTCTCATTATTTGATGCTCCTTATGGAGTTTGGAACATCAGGGCACATGTATAGCTGGCCAAGTGTGGTGATACTTTCCCTCAACTTAGAACTCATTTGTTGATAGTAGTGTAATAAAAGGTAGAAAGCCTGATGCTTCCAATTAATGTAAAAACACCTTCCATCTGTTTCCCTAAAAATAGACACATGCCATAATAGGTCATAATGTTGCTAGTGAATTTGCTCATCTATGCTGATCCAGATAAGCCTCCCAGAGCAAATAGAAAAAAAAGGGGGGGGGGTTGGAAGGAGAAGATGGGAGGGTGGCTGAAAATGAGGAAAAGTGAAACCAAAAAGTAGTTTACAAAACCTTAAGAGAGAGGGTATCATCAGAAAGTTTTTAATAGGAGAAATCACCAAAGAATTGAAAATAAGGCCTTGCAGAAAGCTTCCCCCTACAACCTTTGTATAGTGATATAGTTGGGCTTCCCTGGTGGCTCAGGTGGTAAAGAATCTGCCTGCAATGCAGGAGACCTGGGTTTGATCCCTGGGTTGGGAATTTCCCCTGGAGGAGGAAATGTCAACCCTCTCCAGTATTCTTGCCTGGAGAATCACAAGGACAGAGGAACCTGGAGGGCTACAGTCCATGAGGTCGCAAAGAGTCAAACACGACTGAGTGACTAACATTGTCACTTCATAATTAGAAATATAGGTTCTAAAGGTGGATGTCCTAGATGCCAATCCTTTTTGCCATCCATTAGTTATGGAACCTCCAGGAATTTGTTTAACTTCTCAGTGCCTCTGTTTTCTCATTTGTAAGATGTGGATAATAACAAGTATCTTATAACATTGCTGTGAAGATTTAAATGAAATAATTACATTAGAGAAATCCCTGGAACATAGTAAACTCTATCTGCTAACCTCTATCATCATCATCACCATTCTCTATTTCCTAAAGTGCAGGAGACGCATTTAACTTACATAGGCACTACCCTGACACTTAGGAAATTAGGTGATTTAAAAACTGATAGAATACCTAGACATAGGCCTCACAAAAATGTGTAAGACCTATAACAAGAAAATGATACAATTTTACTGAAGTATATTTAAAAATATTTAATGAAATGTACCTCAGTCAAGTTGTATATAGTTGGCCCTCTGCATCCACAGATTCAACCAAATATGTATGGAAAATACTTGGGAAAAAATTCCAGTAAGTTCCAAAAAGCAGAACTTGAATTTGCCATGCACTGGCAACTATTTACATAGCATTTACATTGTATTAGGTATTATAAGTAACCTAGAGATGATGTAAAGTATATGGGAGGATGTACACAGGTCATATGCAAATATTATACCATTTTATATAAGAGATTGAGCATTTGCAGATTTTGGTATCCATAGGGGGTCCCTGAAACAAACCCCAGCAGATACCCAGAATTGACTGTAATCTTCTTGTTAGAGTTCTTATATATTTATGGCATAGAGTGTAGTGATACTTCATGGAGGTATATTTATCTCCAAACTCATCAAGTTGTACACATTAAATAGGAGATAGAGGTAGAGGTTTTTGTCATTTATACCTCAATAAAGTCATTTCTAAATATTAAATGAAATAGAGAGTTCAATTATCTTCTAACATGAAATTGACTGATCCTGCAAAACATGTAAACTCCCTCCAAAATAACCTAAGTAATTGAGTGCAATCCCAGTCACATTCTCAATAAAATGTTTTTTCTTTCATTGTTATTATTTTGCTTTGTTTTGTGTTCTGGTGGGTGAATTGACAAACTGAAAATTCATTCTGTTTGGAAGATCAGGCTAAACTGCTCTATCAGATATGAGCTGTGAAAGGCCTTTGTAAGAAAGGCACAAGACCTAAAAGCAATAAAGAATTTGAATATATAAAAATTTAATACTTCAAAATGCCAGAAAATACAAGTATATTGTCCCTTACATATAGTGTGCTGCACATCTCTTACATGTATGACATATATATGCACATTTAAAATGTGTGTATGTGCACATATACAGAACATTATACAAATGTATACATACACACTTATCCACAGCTGGGAAAGGAATAGGCAGAACAAGTGAATAGTTCATCCAAATGAATAAGGAAAAAACAAACATCACACTAGAAAAAGTGAGTACCATATATAAATAAGAACAGAATGTCCAAACATGAAATGATGTTCAGCTTCACTCATAAACCAAATTATTAAAACAATTATCTTATAATTATACAGGTATTTAGCTTAAGATATGAAGAAACAGGCACATTCATACACTTGGGAATACAAATTCATGCAACCTTTTGGCAGTACTGACGAAATTCTAAACATGCATATCTTTTCTCCCAGCAATTCTACTGCTAAGAAGTTATTCTACAGAATCTCATTCCAGTACACAGACACTTTAAATAATAAACTTTAATCCTACCAACAGAAGATTAGGGAAGTAAGAAAGAATGGTCCAATTCATATAAAAGAAATATATAGTATCAAAATGACCATATATGCATATATAATTATTATATAAGTATATATAATTAAGTATTGAATAAACATTGGTATACTTTTGACAAAACATGTTGCTGAAAAGAATGTTTAATACAGTCCTTTTTGGGCAAACATATATGGGTCATGTGCTCAGTTGTCTCTGACTCTTTGTGACCCCATGGATTGTAGCCTGCCAGGCTCCTATGTCCGTGGGGTTTCCCAGGCAAGAATACTGGAGTGGGTTGCCATTTCCTTCTCCAGGAGATTTTCCTGACCCAGGAATTGAACCCACATTTCCTGCATTGCAGGTAGATTCTTTACCATCTGAGTCACCAGGGTAGCTACACACACATATATATATTGTATACATGTTTATATTTACACAGTAAAAAGAAGTCTGGAAGGATATACATTAAATGGTAAACAGATTACCTTTGGGAAATGAGATTACCTCTCCTATTTTACATATATTCTGTACAGTTTTGAATCTTTACCATAATCATGTCTGATTTTTATAATTAAAAAAAATAAGGACCAAAAATAGTAATACATGATCATGATGAAAAGAAATTCAAAACATATAAAAGGGTATAAAGTAAAAGCTAAAAGCCAGGTGACTGCTCATTTTCACTCCCTAGAAGTAAATCGTTTCTTGCATATCTTTGTAGAAATAGTCTGTGCATATACAATTACCTGCAGGCCATTCGTTCTGTGCATGAATTATTTTTATAATGCATAATATTTTAATTAAGTGATTTATTTACCCTCAAAATTCTCAGGAGAAATCATTTCCAGAGATTTTTCTCCCCAACTACCTTCAATTCTAGGTATGCAAAAAGCTTCAAGACCAGCAAAACTTCATGAACAATTCTTAGCAGAGAAAAGGAGAACACATTTCCTCCCTACACTTATTTGAAACATGGAGCTTTGTGAAGCAGGGTCAACAGGTAATAATAAGGAAATGGTCCAAAGCTGTACCCACAGCTGTACCAGCTCAGACCCAAGTAGATGAAGCTAATCTCAGGCTGTTAAAAGTCATTAACAGTACTTTATCTCAACTTTTGAAAACACTGACTCACACTTCATCTTCTGCTAGAGGTCTACTCATCCCAGGATCCCTCTTTTACAAATGGGAGATTAAGACAGTGACCTCTTTGGTAACTTCTTCTAAAGAACACAGAGAAGGTCAGAACTGGGGCCAGGCCTGACTCAAACCAGTATTCAATCCATACCATTTTTCTTTCTCCCCAGTGGAGATGGAAGGAATGAGTGATTCAATCAGTGATTCCCAAAAGTGGCAGATCAGAATCAATCAGGGTACTTTCAAAAAATGCAGATTCCTGTATTAACTGACTTAGGGCTGAGTATGGAATTTAAGTTATAAAAGGAGCTTTCACCCAGTGATTATGTTTTCTCATGATCAGAATATTAGGGAAACTCTTATTAAAAGGCAGTCATCCCTATACCAACCAACCAAACACCCTCAATCAATGTAAACACTATGGGTAGGAAAAATGTCCTACCGGCTGCTGGTATTACTCACTTCTTCTGGGCCCAGAGACGGTTTATCTATGGCATTTTTAGTTTAAATACCTTACCCAGGTTTAAGAAATCTGGCAGGCCTGAGATATCTGGCTCTGCAAGTTGACTATTGGTGCTGTTCAACAGAAAGCTCTAAAATACCAATACAGTAATCATGAGGTATACACAGCTGCTGAGTACTTGGAATGTGGCTAGTATGACTGAGGAAGTACATTTTTAATTTTAATTTAAATAGTCACAGGAAGCTGGTGGCCAATATATTGGACAGTTCAGGTCTAGATTTCTAAGACCCTTGATTTCAGTGGAACCCACCCCTCGCCTGACCCCACTCACCTCTACCCAGGGGGACCTCTGCAGAGATCAGAGTCACATAAAGCTGATAGGTCAGCTGGGGCACTGAGCCCAGGAAGGCTTGAATCTGTGACATACGTTTGTAGGCATTGCGGTGCATAGCCAGGGTCCGGATGGAGTGGCCCACCTCCCATTCTATCAGCACCTCCTCGCCATTTATTAGCATCTTCTTTCGGGTGAGGCTGACATAGGGCTCCTCCTGCCCCTCTTTCTTCCACAGTGTGAGGTACTTAATCATGGCCTCCAAACATCTGCAGAAGTAAAGCATCATGGGAACTTAACTAAAGCTGTCCTAGGAAAGAAATTGGTGGTAAGGGAGGATAAATAACTCAGGAAGGTTGTGATACTTTTCTGCCATTCTTTCACTCCTGTTCTATCCAATTTTCATGAGTCAAACAGTTGGTCATGCCTTCTACAAATCACTTGAGTCTAAATCTTTTGTGTTCATTCAGTCATCAACCAACCTAAGAACACCAATTCAGAAGTATTTGAGGACTTAGAAATTGGTTTGTCTCCTTAAGAATAAGCCTATGAAAGAAAAATGACTGGAATACAAAAACATTAATAATGTGTTGAGAGAAAATGATGAAGGTTCCAAAAGGCTCTGGTTTTCCTAACACCTTAAGTTCCTGAGGAAAAATGTTTCCTATTCAAACCTTCCAGCTTCATAGTCATGTCTTTTGAGTTCTGCTTTTTCAAGACAAAACCCACAAGTATAACTATCTCAGCCAAAAAGTCTTGGAGGGGATCTGGGAAAAAACCTCTCAAATACACAGGGATGCTTATAAATCAACTATACTCCAATAAAAATTTTTTAAATAATTTAAAAGATAGAAACAAAAGCCATTTAGCAACAAAGGTACTTAAAAAGACTTGGCAACTCAGAACCCAATGTACTATATACCTAGGGAACCTCAAAAGACTCCTTAAAGCTTGTTCTGGGGGCCTCTTGACCTGTTAGGGAACAACAGCCTTTTAAACTTCATTCTTTCTCTACAAAAGAGGAAAATTTTCTTTGATTTGAAATCCCCCCCCCACACACACACAGAAATGAATGGAAACTGTGGACTGTTTCTTATGATAAGTTGAAACAGTTGTGTCGAAATTTAAGCTGTCTTTCCTGACAGGCTAAGGGCTGTATTTATCTCACCACTGCCCTTATCACATAGTGGGCATTTGATAAATATTTGCTGAGTAAATAAAAGAGTAAGAAGGAAGCAAATAATACAGGTGAGAAGTGATGGGAGGAGAAAATGACAATGGCAATGAAATTTAACAGAAAAAGAGACCAAAGACAAGTTCAGAGATTTATATGCTCTCTAGACCTCTGGCTCCTAATAGGAAAGAGCATTGGCCAGCTGCCATTCTCCACAGGATCTCTCTTTTCTTAAAGATGTTTATTTTATATTGGACTATAGTTGATTTACAATGTTATGTTAGTTTCAGTTGTACAGCAAAGTGATTCAGTTCTACATACACATGTATCCTTTTTCAAATTCTTTTATTTAGATTATTATGAAATATTGAACAGAGTTCCCTGTGCTATACAGTAAGTCTTTGTTGGTTATCTATTTTTAAAAAAAATATTTATTTAATTATTAGGATTCACCAGGTCTTATTTGTGGTATGTAGGAGCTAGTTCCCCAACTGGGGATCCAACTTAGGCCCCCTGCATTGGGAGCACAGAGTCTTAGCCACTGGACCACCAGCGAAATCCCAGTTATCTATTTTAAAAATAGTAGTGTGTATGTCAATCCCAAACTCCCAATTTATCCCTCCCCGTCACCTTTCCCCTTTGGTAACCATAAATTTGTTTTCTAAGCCTATGATTTTGTTTCTGCTTTGTAAATAAGTTCATTTGTGTCATTTATCCACAGGATCCCTTTGACATTGGTGCATGTGTACCAGCTTGAAACATCCACACTGTAAGGAAAACTGAAATCCAGGAGAGAAAAAGATGGGAGGAGAAAACAGAGAAGAAAAAAAAGCAATTTTCTTCTCTGAGTCAGGAAAAATGCGTATGTGCACTTCCAACAAAAGATTTAAGATTTTAACCCAAGCCCATCAATGTTATTGCTGAATAAAATATGCGGGGGGGGGGGCGGTGTTGCATGAAGAATCCTGTTCCTGCTTCTATTCTTAAGGCTATTTACTGGTTTACGTAAGCATGTTTGCCTTGCTTATAAATGGCACAACATGAGAATACATTTTCACTTCCAGAGGTATCTTTGCATTTCATATAAGAAAGCCAGGCCCTCCAAACACCTTCATGTGCCTAATAGCACTAATCAAGTTCCTACCTACCCAAAAAAGTAATTTGCCTTGAAAATAAGCATTATCAAGGATATGATCTATGAGCTTTTAATTGATTTTAAATGCTTTTCAATCATATCTAGTCAAAGGTAAATGATAAAAATGAAACAGAGTACTCGACACTATGGATGGTCCAAATCAAAGATGGCTTGGGAGGCCGCAAAGCAAAGAGAGAAGTCAAAATGGGGGGCTGGGGTAGTACTTACTGAAATTCGCATCTTCAGGAGGGAGGGGACACATATATGCCTATGGCTGATTCATGTTGATGTATGGCAGAGACCATCACAATATTGTAAAGTAATTATCCTCCAATTGATATAATTTTTTTAAAAGAGCACTTGATCTTTTTAATTCAATAGATTGCATTTGAAAGAGGAGAGAAGAATGGTTTCCTTGCTCCTCTGATAACATCTCTAAATGACATCTTGATTCAAAGTTCAAGATGAGGTCTTCCTTTCACAGCTTAACTTCAGAGATTTAGAACTGGAAAGGACCTTTAGATTACCTAGTCCAGAGGTTGCATAGGCCAGCTGAGTCACATCGGAAGAACAGCTGTGGCTTGTTTGGCTCAGACAGTGTTTTTATTTAATTACCAAAATCAGTTGTCAAAATATTAAGTCATTCTATTTCCCACAAAATCCTGTCTTGAGTGCTTCTCCTGAAAAGTTGGGGCCTTGGCGATATTGGGTCTGAATTCCCACAAGGAATCACCGAACTGGAGCTGTGGAGCAGTTGCCTCCTTTAGGCTTATCTTGTGGAATCCAGATTGCCACAATACTCACCACTCTCCATCATTTCTTTAACAATGAAACTTCATTTTTATTTATCATCACACATGAAGCTACTGTTTTTCTCATACTTGTCTTGCCTTGCTCATTTATGATACTTGCCTGGCCCCTGTTAAGTGTTTGACTTTGAGACCCATGATCTAGTCCAAGCCATTTATTTTACAGATGAAGGAACTGAGGCTCAAGGCATCTTCAGGGATTTCACCAAGGCTACATAACTAGTCAATGACAGAGGGGGCAAGGGGGGCCCACTAGATTCCAGCTCTCCTGAATTCCAGGCCACTATTTCTGTTGATGTCTCAAATTTTCACTGATGGAGCATAAACAATTACTCCCTGTTTAAATATATTGATAAAAATTTTTCTTTAAAGAGTAGAGTTCCTTAGCCAGTTTCAGACTGTTTATGTCTCTGATGATGAAACATTTCCCCAATCGCAATTACAACATCAACACTATGACCCATATTCCTCAGCTGACTGCAGGTTTCTGCTTCTCTTGCAATCAAGATAAACTTGGTCCATTCTTTCCTACTGACCTCATAAATTTTGCAACATCTCTCTATCTTGAAAATCCCATAGCATCCAGATGAGACTTCTGATGCAGATGCCTGTTCCCCTTAGGATAAGGCACATTCTTATCCTTTCAAAGCAAATGGAATGGAAAGACTCAATATTATTATATTGTGCTACAGCATCCAGATAGACTGTCTTCCTTTGCCCCTTCTAACCGTGTACCTTTATTGCAGAAAGATACAAAGGGATAAACAGGGGACCAATAAACTGCCAGGAAAAACAAACTACAAGGGGTTGGGGTACCAGATGAGCGTAAATGGCTTAAAATATTTCCCAGATGTCAAATAACTCCAGAAAATTTGAAAATAACAGTCACAGCAGACCAAGCAGCTCAGGGTAAAGAAACTGAATGTGAGATGGGACAGAGAGGGTAAGGAACTTCCATCCAATTTTAAGAGCATCTAAAAGGCAGGGTCAAAATAACATACTCCAAAGCTATGGCCTGTGTTCACAAGGTGATCACATCAATTGGTCTCAAATTCAGATAGCAAACATTGTCAGATGAAGTCTTATTAATGGTACTAAACATGGTTTTGGAACACAGGCACATGCCACATGTTCATTGTGATGGCACTTAAGACTGCAGATAAGACTTTGTGGATGGCAGGCAGGGAAGTCAAGAGTGGGAGGGAATAGAAGAATCGATTCAATTAGAGGCACAGTAGCAGTCTTAAAAAATATTAAATGCATCCTTCTCTGCACAATGGGGGGAAGGGAGAGAGGAGGAGGGAAAAGATGCAAAAGTTGCTCACCTGATAACAGGTCCCAAGAGGATTAGGTGCATAAACAATGATAGTGGTTTGTCTTTGGCCAGGTCTCTGTGGACAAAAATGAGGGTCAACTGGACCATGATGGATGAAAACATAAAGAAAGAAAAAGTGTATGTCATCCAGTAGGTTTCACTATTCTTCCGGTAGATTCTAACCATATACAAGGCAGATGCTGCCTCTCCACAGTACAAAAAGGTGGAGAAGAGGATGCCAAATGGAAAGGTAAATCGGGGGTTGGCCCCATGGATGACATCTTCCTCAAGAGAGGATATCGGCTCCACGTTTGGCTCTTCGGGAATTTCAAAAACTTGGTCCATTGTTGAGGTTCCAACTGTCGTGGTCTGGTTTTCAGAGCACTACCGCCCCTCCCCCACCCCCCAAAGAACGTGCAACAGCTGCAGTCCAAGTATTGGTGAGGAAGGCTGTCAAGTCCAATTCTAGTTAGAGCAGGAGATCCCTCTCATCTAGTCTCAAATTAGACTTGTTGGAGTCTGAGATGAAGGATCCAGGAGTACCACTTTGAACTTGACTCTTGATTAGGCCGGGATTCCAGTCGTCAACACACGTGCTGTGGAATTTGGACAAGGCAAAAACAAACACCTTAGCGCCCAGTCAGGGGTCCAATTCCAGTCGTGTAAGGAGCCATGGGAACTGCTGTTTCGGTGGCGGTTCCGCCTTTCGCAGCCCTCTAGGCAGCGGGGCAGGCCGGTCTGTCGGGGGCACCCACACTCAGCAGCTGCTCTCAAGGAGCCCTGACCAGTGTGCTCTCACAAATCGGCCGAGAACTGAGCCAGGGCAGAAGTGGGGATTGCAGCCTGAACGTCCCTTCTGGATTCAGTTCAGTGCCCAGGTACTTAGCTATTGCTAAGCTGCGGCTATTAGCTCGCCTGCTCGCCGGCGCTCTCTCCGGACTCGCGCTTAGTCAAAGGTTCTCACGTAGGCTTCTCGGATTCCCCAAGCTCCGCGCCCAAGGCAGCCCGACCAGGGGCAGGAGCAGAGCCACAGCCTCATCCCCAAGGCAGTCACCGGGGAGCGAAGTGGCGTGCGCGTCTGCTACAGGATCCAGAGAAAACTGGAGGGGCTTCTTTTCCACCGAGAAACTTTGCTAGCGAAAAACACGACGTGCGGAGTGACAACCCGGCCGGACAATTGTCACCAAACTCTTGGGCGCCGTCTGCTGCCGGGGTCCTGCCGGCCCGCAGTTCCAGCTGTGAGAGATCGGTGACTTCAGGAACTAAGGCACACGGAGGGCGGGGGTGAGAGGAATGGGAGAGACAGCTGGGACCAAACAAAACCAGTCTGCGACTTCCAGGGCGAGCAGATTTAGGATGCTCGGTGCGTAGAGGCGCAACAAAAGAGGGCTTGGGCCAACCTTTAGAAGGATTTCTTATCACGACCCCCGAACCCTGGAGAGGGCTACAGCTTTCCTCTTGCCCCAGAGCAGCAGACGCCCACTTCTACCCCTCCCTCCCTAACTAGCTCGCTCCCACACTCGCTCAACCCACGCGGTTAAGCAGGTGTGTCTCTCTCGGCCTCAGGGTTGAATCTCCCTAGGTCCTATTGCCCTCCAGATTTTGTTACTGTTGGGTGGGGGACAGACTGGGAGGCAATCGGGCCATAGAGTTTCCTTTCCAAGCGAGACTGTTTGTAGCAGAAGGGAGAAAGAAAAAGCTAGAGGGGGTGTCAAGACTCAAGGTCAGCCCACTGACCCATATTATATGCCTTGATTTCTCCACTTGAAAAATGAGGCCAGGGTGGGAACTTTGGAACGAACTTTCAGGTCTTTGGTTGGAAGGTTCTGAAGAGGTGCCAAACTCTAAATAGACTGAAGAGGAGCCAAGTGAGCTGTTAGTAAAAACTGAGAGGGGTGTCTCAAAGAGCTCTGAGAATTGCCTAGATTCTTAACAGCAATCCTCCCCCAGTAGCTGAGCTTTTGTTTTTGTGCCTTCATTTGCATAATTCTAAACCCCAGGGGAAAAGAGAAACCATCTGCCTCTTGGTAATAATACAAATGTAGCAGAGCCTTGACAATCTCCTTTTGCTGCAGGAAGTCAGTAAAAAGAATCTAGGTGAGGAATGGCCAAGTCACAGCCACCAAAAGGATGGCCTGGAGAAAGGCTTAGTCTGGCTGTGGTGGTGCTTTTTCAACATTCCTGTGATTGCTGCATCCTTCCTCCAGGGCTGATCCAGGCACAGATGAGCTTCTACAAGGTTGTTGCCTTTTGAGACTGATGTGGCAGTTGGGTTAGCAGACTGATCCTGACTCCTTTCTGTTTCACAAGGTGGGTCAACAGTATCAGAGAACACTTCACACATAGGGTTGATGAAGTGGGACTTTCCAAAAGGCACCAAATTCTTTGCCAACAGTAAGTATGTGGTGTGCAACTTCCTGGGGGCTTCTTTGGAAACTTTTCCCAAGATGAATCACAAGTAGGGTGACAAACTTCTGTTTGCTGAGTTGATCACCCTAACATGGGAGACTGAAGCTAGGAAGAATGTAGAATCCCCATGTTTTTCTTTTTAGCCTTTCCTCCTTCCCTGTGCCCTTCAAAGTGTTAGTCACTCAGTCATGTCTGACTCTTTGCAATCCCAAGGACTGTAGCCTACCAGGCTCTTCTGTCCATGGAATTCTCCCAGAAAGAATACTGAAGTGGGTATTCCCTTCTCTGTCCTTTCCCTTCTTCAGGGAATCTTCCCAACACAGAGATAGAACCTTGGTCTCCTGCATTGTAGGCAGATTCTTTTATGTCTGAGCCATCAAGGAAGTCCTGAGCCCTTGTTACTCCCCAAATATGCAAATCTTCACTGCCTTCTTACTTTGTTCTGTCTGACATTTAAGGCTCTCTATAATCATCACACAATTTTCCTCTCCAGCTTCATCACCCACGTTACCCTGCCACACCCTTTGCTCCAGTCCAACAGGTTTTCTCACTTAATCATACTTGCCTTGCTGTCTCAGTGCCTTGTTGAGGCTATTTACAACCCCCTTCACTCTTTTCTTCATTAGTCCAAACCCTAGCCTTCTTTCTTTTTTTTTTTTAATTTTTTTTCCTAACCTTCTTTCAAGGGGCAATTCAAGCACTCCCTCCTCCAGGAAGCCTATCCTCACCTCCCCATCTCTCATTTTCCCCTCTGTCTTAGTGCTACTAGTCCTTGGACTCTTTCTGTGTTTGCCCTGCCTCCTAAACAGAAGTGTAGACTCAGGGAGGGATGCTCAATTAATATTTATTGTGGTTCTTGTTGATGATAGTGATTAACAAGTGGTGATGATGATGAAGCTTCTTCCTCATGCTTCCTCCAGTAAAACATGCAAGACGCAAGCACACTCATCTCTAAAAGTTGTAGCCACTGTAGCTAGAGCATAAAGTCCTGTGGGAACACCTACTGCCTCAATCAGCCATTCAGTTCACAGAGGATGTCAGCCCTTGTCAGAGTTCCATTTTTTTGGGGTCAATCCCACAGTTTAGCACAAAATTACAAATTGTTTCAAGTATACAAATTTTTATTTCATCACTAAATTACTCCAAGTCCCTTAAAGGCAGAGACACTACTGTTACATTTCTTTGATTCCCCCAAGGTTTGTATAGACTTGTAAATCTCCTGCTCTCTGATCTCCCTCACTCACCAGTGTCTCTATTTTCAGCCCTAGGACTCTCTAGTGCTTTAGGTCACTAAATCCTCTGGTCTCTTATTTCCTTGTTCCTATAGCCCTGCTGGGAGAAACTGAGAATTTTCCCTGTTTCTGTCCAACTCTCTTTCCTCTTTTAGGCAATCTCTAGACTCCAGCCTTTTATCTTCTTAAGACTAGAGATGCTGGAAATGCTGGTATTTGTGAGACTACTGTGGCCCTGGGAACCCCTTCCCCATTAACAGCATTGATCTCCCAAGGAATGACAATCTGAAGTGAAACCTCTAGGCTTCCCCCTGAGAGCTAGGCTGTGTTCAGGGGTTTGGTATGGCAGGAAAGGGAGACTCAAGATTTGATTCCTCACTCCCCCTACCTCTGATTCAGCAGGAACAGAGAATGGGTTGGAGCCATTGAAAAGCTCTTGACATATTTATTAGTTTTCAAAACCCCTCTGAACGACATAAGGCTCAGGGGTAGGTTTGAGCTTGCAAAGCCACTGCAGCCAGAGCTGACTCATAAGAGGTAGCTGGCATACATGAGGGAAGAAGAGAGAAAAGAGAGAGATGGGTAGCAAGTGGCTGATAGTGCAGTCTCACAACACTATCTAGTGGGAGGTGATGGGCAAGGCCTAGAGAAGCAGTAGTTAGGATGGAAGAATGGCTTCTGTCTATAGAATGCTCAGTTTGGACTGTCAGAATCCTTAAAATATATGTAGTGCAAAATCAGTCAGGTATCCTCTGGGCCTTCTCTTTTTGCTCTGAGTTCCCTGAGGACAAAGATTTTTGATTATCCTATTCCAGGCTACTCCCTCATCATCCATTTCCCAAAGTGGCTGCACCATTTTACATTTCCATCAGCTGTGTGTTTCTCTACATCCTCAATACACTTGTCTTTTTTCATTATAGACATCCTAGTGGTTTTACTTTTAAAAAATTATTTATTTGGCCATGCTGTGTCTTCGTTGCTTTTGTATGAGTTTTCTCTAGTTGTGGCGAGTAAGGGCTACTCTTCATTGTGGTGCGAGGGCTTCTCATTGTGGTGGCTTCTCTTGCATAGACTCGAGGCAGCACACATGCTCAGTAGTTGTGGCGTGTAGGCTGTAAGTGTGTGGGCTTCAGTAGTTGCAGCATACAGGCTCAGTAGTTATGGCTTGCAGGCTCTAGAGTGTGGGCTCAGTGGTTGTGGCACAAGGGTTAGTTGCTCCATGGCATGTGGAACCTGCCCAGACCAGGGATCGAACCCATGTCCCCTGCATTGTCAGGCAGATTTTTATCCCATGCAACACCAGGGAAGTCCCCTAGTGGATTTTGATTTTCATTTCCCTGATGGGTAAATTGAGTGTGTGTATGTGTGTAAGATCATTTGAATACCAGTTGGTCACAGCCAGTTATTTCAATAAACATTTATTTGTAATAGCAGTAAGTAAGACAAAGATCTCAGCTCTCGAGGAATTCACACAGTATAATAGACCCTTTTTTGAGGGCATTTCTGTACAGCATTTGAATCCCTTTATTTTGGGGAGAGGACATAAGACTCTTGCTAATAAGTAGGGCCCCCTTGTAGTTGGGGCACAGGACTATGACTTGGGCTTCCTTAATGCAAGGAACTGGGAGCCAGTGACCCAAAGAAGTGGACAATCTCCAATTCAGACAGTCATGACAGTGTGCCTCTTGGTTCTTCCAATGTGGGAAGTGTCACTGACCTTTGCTCCAGTTAATGTGCTTTATATTCACCCCAATATTTGCTGCTTTGCTCTGAAGCCCCACTGTTCCCAGCCAATGACTAAGCACAGAAGGAGTCAGGCCCATTTCTGGGAGACATAGGACTATGTGGCCTGTGACTTTGGTAACAGGACTCCCCATCAGCCTGGTCCAACTTCATTAGCACTAAACTTCAGTCTATAACTCTTCCTACTCAACCTTCTCCTTTCCTTCTCTCATCCATAAAGGTCAGATTTACATTGCAGTTTAACAGCTCTCCCATCTTCTTCTGGCTCCCTCCCTACATTCTCTCACAAATATTTTCCCCAATAAGGCTCCACATGTCTAATCCCAGCTGGGTTTTTGCATCTGTGAGGACCTGAGCTAACCCACTAATGGTGCTAGCATGATGTTAGTAATGGTAACAGCCGTGATGTTGACTGTGTAGCCCTGAGTCAGGTTCTCCAGTCCAACTTGTGATTCTGGAAGCTATTCATTACCCACTCCAGTATTCTTGGCTGGGAAATCCCATGGACAGAGGATCCGGGCAGACTAGTGTCCACAGAGTCACAAAGAGTTGGACACGACTGAGCATGCATGCATACATGCAGTAGGGAAAATAGATATTCATCTGTTAAAAACAAAAAAGAACCTTAACCAACCATGTCACAGAACCATCTTTTTCAACTGCCTAACAGAACCTAAGTGAACAAAAAGTTTTCCCTAGTAGCTCAGCTGGTAAAGAATCTGCCTGCAATGAAGGAGACCCTGGTTCAATTCCTAGGTCAGGAAGATCCCATGGAGAAGGGATAGGCTACTCTCTCCAGTATTCTTGGGCTTCCCTGGTGGCTCAGACAGTAAAGAATCCACCTGCAATGTGGGAGACCTGGGTTAGATCCCTGAATTGGGAAGATCCCCTGGAGGGGGGCACGGCAACCCACTCCAGT